AGCCCGCGCCATTGTCCAGCTCTCAATGCAGTTGTCCTGTTTGAGAGCGTCATAGAGTTTCCTGTTCATTTCCACAGGGGACAGCCAGATGCTCAGCTGGTGTCCCCAGGCTCTCAGAGTCCTGACTTTCCACCTCATACAGAAGAAGCTCGTCTGCGAAAACATTCCTTTTACCTGCTTCAGAGAAGAAAGCATTTTGATTAAGACACGTGGGTAAGAGGATCTAATGTCTTGTGCTTATGTAACTCTGGGCCAGATAGTACACAGTGTTTCACTATGGCAGGAAAATGTAAAATGTGAAAACCACAATGAAGTCCACTCCTGCGCACATTGCCTTTCTACACCCACATCCTCAAACACTTGCACCAAGTGAATGAGCTTCTTAGACTGAATGGAGTTCCCAGCAGGGAGGTCCCTACCCTTTGCTAAGGCTAGGGCAGGGTGAGGTTTTGCTTGTTTATGTCATAAAGTGGACACAGGCGTTTAGCTGCTGCTTCTGTAAATTTAGCCCGTGTGGTGCAATGGGGTAGGAGGAGGAAGTGATTTGGAAAATACCTCCTCCCCACATCACAGACATTCAAGCCCCATCGGAAGACCCCCAAATTAGGTCCTGTAGTATGTGCTTGGGTGAAGCAAACCCCTGTCTGGCTTCGGGTGGTGTGTGACCTCATTTCCTGTTTTAATAACCACGGTGTAAAGCTAACAGCGTAAGATGTCATGGTCACGATGTCAGCTGCAAAGTGGAACCGATGTTCGGCGAGATTCCAGCAGTCCTAGCACAGGGCCCCCAAAGTTTGAGGGGATGTTAGTAGAGTCGGTATGACTGCCTGATGTCACATCCCTGCGCCTCCAGCTCTGGCTGAAAGTTAGAGTGAGTTTTATGTGCAATGGCAAAAGGAAATTCTTTCTGGGGAGCAAAGGACAGGTTTGCGAGGGGGATTATGTCATTTTACTGGTTGTGAAAGAAATTACCCCTAGTGCTTTTGGGATGGAGAATATGTAGTTTCACGGTTCATTTGGGCTTCAGTCGCCCTATAGTGTCATGATGGTCCCTAACAACTTTTGTGGGCTGGGGACATAACTCAGCAGTTCAAGCGTTCACAGTGCCAGTGTGAATGGAGTTTGAATCCCCAGAACATACACAGATGCCACATGAGTATGATGGTCTGCGTGCAATAATTCCAGCTTTGGAAGGTAAAGACAGGGTATCCCCAGAATAAGCTAGCTAGTAGGACTAGCTGCATCGGTGAGTTCTGAGTCGATTGAGAGACCTTGTCTGAATAACTAAGGTACAGTAGTGTTGGGGGATGATTTCCAACAACAGCCTTGTGCCTTTATGTGTATGTCACACACATGTGAATGCAGTACCCTCACCTCAGGGATGCCTATACACACCCAAAACATCCATACACACGTGCCCCCCACACATAAACATACGAGCATGGAAAAAGAAAAAAAAACTTAATTTGTGAAAAGTAGAAAGACACCATTTTGCTGTTGTTGAATGGACGGACCACTGTTACTATGGTAGCCAATATGACAAGAATGTCCCTGTGCCGTGGGCCTGAGTCCTCTCCCTAGCCCTTCAGCAAACAGGAATTCCATCATATAAGCATTGAAAGTGATGACGATGACATCATTTCTGTTTTGCTCTTTGTGGTTAAGGGCACCCCTAAGGGGCAATCTCAGCTCTTTTAACCCCTCAAGCATTTAAAAGGCAGAGAAGTCACCTTCTAAAAGTTGGCTCATCAAAAATGCAAATTTCAAACTTCGTTTACAGGCTGTACTGGGGCAGCAGAGGTGTTTGCCTCAGTACTGAGTCATGGTGGTAAGGTTTTGTGTGTGTGTGTGTGTGTGTGTGTGTGTGTGTGTGTGTGTGTGTCTTAGGTAGATAAGAGGTGAGAAGATCATTTCCAGAAGCTGCTACTCAAAGGCCCTAGGTATAACCTTTTCTCCACTCAGCTCATTTTATGCATTTCATAGAAGTAATAATGAACTAGGACTCTGTGGCCAACAAAGATCAGAGAGATAAAGACTGTGAGAGTCAGGGAGGGAGTGACCCTAATAGCCAAAGGGTGAGAATTCTCCAGGGAGAGGAAGCAGACCTGAGTCTCCTGGATTCCCAGCAGGACCTGCCCCGGAGGCTGCAGCGGATGCTCGGGGCATCTCATCATTTCGTTCATTTTGCATTGCTCATGGCTCAGAGAACTCAGCAAGCTTCGGAACAGATGGTGCCTGTATCACAGGATGTCCTCTTGTCCTATTTATTCGAGAATGAACCACGTCTCTGTAAACACTACAGTCGTGGCGCAGAATCGTAATTGGGCCTCTTCGTCTCTGGAAAGGAGACCGGTTGCTTTAAGCTAGCAGTTTTCAAACTGTGGCTGTGGCCCATTAAAGCTGTGGTCTGGAATCGAGCTAGGCTTGACCTTTTAGTTCACAGAAAGAACACAACATACCCCATACTTTTTGTGAAATTGTGTTTCAGCCTGGTGTATATGTAAGGGGTAAGGTTTTCTATGTTCTGGGTTATAATGGTGAGGGGTGGGGGTACTCCAAAACTCTGAAGTACCACTTAAAGACAACTTACAATATTATTATTATTGTTACTATTTATTGTTATTTGGGGGCACGCATGGTGTACTTGTGGAAGTCAAAGGACAGCCCTGTGGAGTGGATTCTTTCCTTCCACCTTTTCGTGAATCAAACTGGGGTCTCCAGGCTTGCTCAGCAGCACCTCAGCTGCTGAGTCACCTCCCAGGACTTCATGCAACATTAGAAAGAGAAGGAGGGTTGATTGTCACTGTAGCGTGAGTGCGGGCTGCCCATCTGTTTAGCTTCTGCTTTTTGTGGGGCAGGAGATTGAACCCAGGGCTTGCCGGGGAAGCTCGCTCTCCTCAGCTCTACTCCAGTTCTGCCCAGTTATTTTTCTAGGTGGTCCATGTACATGACAGAGTGTGTGTGTGTGTGTGTGTGTGTGTGAGAGAGAGAGAGAGAGAGAGAGAGAGAGAGAGAGAGAGAGAGAGAGAGAGAGNGAGAGAGAGAGAGAGAGAGAGAGAGAGAGAGAGAGAGAGAGGGAGAGAGAGAGATTAAAAGAGACAGCCATTGAGCGAGAACGTTAATTCTGCCGTATGCTAGGCAACAGAGTGCCTGTTCTTAATTCTCACATCACATCCTAAGACAAAGCCCTTTGACACTGACCGAAATTTTTGAGTAAATCCTTAATTTTTTCCAGTTCATAATATCTTAGCTTAAGTAGAAGCCTGTCAACTTGACAATAGCTGTATGATCTCGCGCAATGTGTACAAGGAAGAAAAAGTCCTTGAGTCGTTAAGTGTGCTTGTAAGTTTCTAGATGATTCCTCTTCCAAAGATATAGTAAATCCCTCATACTGCCTTGCTTCCAAACAAGGTGGGACTGTTTCTACTTTAGCTTTTCTCATTCGCCTTCAGCATCTCCTACTTAATAGTAGGATGACTGTAGAAAAAGACGCAGCTGACTCTCTGGAATGCCCGATGTCACCTCCGAGATGCCCAGTGTCCTTCCACAGAGATACGCTTAGAAACCCAAGACGTGTTACCCATTAACACAACATTTATTAGTATCTATAAGGTGCAGAGTGTGATACGGGGGGGGGGGGGCACAACATCAGGCGTCTTCATCAGAGCCTGCTCCGCAGCCAGGGACAGTGGTGACTTTAGGCAGTGTTCTGGGCAGAGCTGGGGACTTGGGCGCCACTGCCTTCAATGCAAAACAGGGGCCTCATCTTCAATGGCAGCTGATGGATCAGTTAGCTTTTCATCTGGACACACAGGCGGCCACTGGGGGAAACGGCCAGCTCCATTTCTAGGATGTTACTGTCAAACGCCCATATGCTCCTCATGCTTTGTAGGGAGCGTTGGATGCCTTGTCACCGTCAGCTTGGAACTGAGTGCATGTGAGAGGCACGTGACAAGCAGATGGCTTTGAGACTTAGTTATGGAAGAGAGTTGCACAACCGAACGTTCCCACGTTCAATGTTCCAAACAGCACAGGGACCAGCTTACTGCTCCCTTTCTGCAAGAACCGACAGCTCTTTTCCTGACTGGAAACTAGTCCACCCCTGTGAGGCAGACGCAAGGCTAACACCAAAAGTCCTGAGTTTACTTTGCCAAGCTTGTCCCCTATCACTTTGTTGGGGGTTATCTACCGTTCGGGATTCCTACGGCATACTATTGACTTTGATTCAGTAGGAATCTATGCAGTTCGGGTTTTTACTTGACTGGAGAAATTAATCAACAGCATCTCTCCTCATGAATAGATGCCCAGGGAGAGGATGCCAGACTGGCATGGTCCCCAGGGGCCACCATCCAATGCCTGACACACACCGGGCCTGTAGTGTCTATTGAGCAAACACATGGATGGTGGCTTGGTTGTTTGTTAAGGCCACAGGGCACAGCAGTGCTTTGAGCCTCTGAAGTCACAGACTCCATTTCATCAGTGTGCGGTGGTTTTCAGTTTGTCTTGGCCAATGTTATCCTTGGGTTTGGTTCATATAAGAAAAACTAACGACTAGTCTAAGTATCGTAGATTGCTTCTCTATACACTTTTCCTGGCCACATCTTCAAATCATCATACAAAGGCATGATAACCCATGTTTTATCATTCCCTGTGTGCCTGAGATTTACTAAAACAAAACAGAATTGTATTAGCCAAGTTATAGACTAAAAAAAAGGTCATGAATCATCTTATTATAAAAAAGCAAAACATTGTTATAATTATTATGAATCTCTTTTAAAGGCAGGGACTCTCTATATACCTACCCCTGGCTGTCCTGGGACTCGCTGTGTAGACCAGGCTGAACTGAGTCTTACAGAGGTCCACCAGCCACTGCCTCTTAAATTCTGGGATTAAAGGTGTGCACCACCACATTCGACAGAACATTAATATTTACCATGTTGTCAGATAACTCAGTTCAGCTCCTTCATCAGCACTTGGAACTCTCAGAGCTCCGTCATCTCTCTCCCATCCTAAATATGACCGTGTTGTTATAAGATTTTTTTTTTTTTTAGGGAAGAATTCCTGTAGATCCTTGTCAAACAAGTGAAAACTCTCATTGGTTTTAATCCACAGCCACCATATTGTTGCTTTAGATTAAAAAAATGTGTGCATGTCTGGGTGTGGGGTTTGTACTTGTGCATGCAGTAGCCCTGGAGGTCAGAAGAGGACATCAGGCCCCTGGAGTTGGAGTTAGAACCAAGTGTGAGCATGGGATGTGCGTGCTGGGAACGGAACTATTCTTTGTGGGAGCCGTATGCTCTTAACCGCTAAGCCACCTCTCCAGCCCCTAGATACCCGTCTTTAAACACAGTAGAAGACAAAGGAGAAAAGCCTCAGGCATAAAAGTAGTGTGTTAGATAATTAAGTAGCTTACGCCTCCTACACAGTTGTTATTAGTCTCTGGCTGAATGCGAATCCGTTTAATTCCTTCAAGCTACATAAAATGAGACGAAAATATACAGTCTCACAGTATGTTGAAATGGCGTGTGAAAGGCCTTCCCACGGCATCTGTGTCGTATGTCAGAGATGAATAGTGTTTCTGATTTGATGGCCACTTGGGCCAAGTTTGCTTTAAGAGGAGGCCTGCTTGGGGAAACAACGGTAACAGAAATGGTCTCTTGGGAAAGGCTTTTGGTGAGGTTTAACTTTTTTTTAATTATATTTTTTTTTTTTTTTTTGAGGTATGCTTTCTTTATGTCTTCTAAATGGGCATTTTATAGGCCCTGGGCCAAAGTGCCTTAAAACCATGCTTAACTATCATGGACATTGCCTGAATGTTCAGGGAGACCCAGGCGGTGGAAACAGATATGGGTGAGGTTCGAGGAACCTTTGTCTGAATAGCAGTTTCTGCTCTTGAAGCGTGGTGGGGAAGCCAACAACATCTACAGGACCTAGGAGCCCTCACCAGCCCTGTCAAATCAGCTTTCATATCTAAACCAAATCCTCAGGTGATCTGTATGCACGTACGATTTTGGGGGCATCATCCTGGGACCCCAAAGTTTCTAGGTGACCAAGCACACCATGCCATGGCTTTGCTTTCTCTTTCTCTCTCCTCGTGTTTAGAATCTCCCCATTTTAGAGGCTAGCATCCACAGCTGAAGGCACCCTTCTTTCCTCACCGCTCCTACACCTACTCTCTTAACCCTAGATCACTGTGCTTGCTGATATCAAGAAATCATTTCCGAGGCTCATCCCCTGACTGTAGAGGTTTCCTTGGTAACACCTACTGCTGGGATGAGTCGCCTTACACTATGCTGAGATCTCATGCTTCTAGGCTGTCCGCGGAAATGCCACTCCCTTTTGGTTTTAAGTGCCATCTGTGCGTGGGGAGGGGGTGTGGGAGGAGGATTTCTGTCTCCATCATAGAATTCCTCCAGTTTCACTATCGGTTTCTTTACTAATATTTGTGGGGTGCTGGTACGGGGAAGGGTAGACCTGTTAGGTGCCTGGGGTAGTCAAACCAGGGCTTTCTCAGTAGGGGGAAAGAGCATGGAACTGCTAAGGACCAACTTCTCATATCCCTCTGGAGGCTTCTCATGGCCCCATCTTTGCGTCCTGAGGTGCAGCTTGCGGCAGGTGCCCGGAGGCAACCGTAAATCAAAACCAAGACCTAGACTGACCAGCCAGTTGGCCCCATAGAAGCAACTTGGTCCTTCTGTTCCAAACTGTGCTGGCAGGGGAAGGGCTCAGCAGAAAAGTGAGCTGGCAATTTAGAAGCACTGCTTACGAATTCAGGCTTTGTGGGCTGGGGGTTAGCGCAGCCAATGGTCAAGGGAACATTTTAGGGTCAACCAAAATAGGGAGCACCCAGACAGATCCCACTAGTCAGAAGATACCGGCAGGGGGAGAAACAAGATTGCTTTCTGGCCATAGTGAGTCCGAGGACCGCGCTTGCAGCTCCCATTCTTCTTGAGGCCCACAAACCAGTTCTTCTCTGCGTGCTTCTTGGATGTGTAAGTGTTATAATGGTTTTCTTCCAGCCTTTCTAGGAACAGGCATTCCTCATCTGGTGTCTGCTAAAGGATAAAAACCAAGGGGAGGAGGACAGAACAATTAGCGAGTGGTTTAAAATAGGGTTCCCTTCCTCTCTTGTTCACCAGCTGTGTGACAATCTCAGATTCCTCCCCCCACACTGGTGATTTTCACTAAAAGGCTGGGATTTTTGTCTCAGTGTTGTTATGAACACAAATACTTGTGTAAAATGTGCTTTGCACATCCAAACACACAGAGGAGCTTCAGTGTGTTTCTGTTGCTCTCAGGCAGGCCTTGAGCTCCTGGTTCTCTTCTACCTGCCTTCCATGGGCATGCGCCACCATGACAGGACACTTAGAGAAAGAAAAAAATAATCTTACTTATTTCTGTTGTTTCTGAAAGGAACTATACTTCTTAATTTTAATAGAAATGGGTTAAATCAAGATGTGAGAGTTAGCCAATAGGAAGCTAGAGCAAATGGCCAGGCAGTGTTTAAATGAATCTAGTTTCTGTGTGATTATTTCTGGTGTAAGCTAGCAGGGTGGAGGGAATAAAGGGCCATGCTCCTCGTGCAACAGTTTGATATATTGCCAGAGAGTAAATGCAGGACCTTGTGTATTCTAGGCAAATGTTCTACCACAGAGTGATGTTCCCAACTCTAGACAACTGTTCACATTTCACAAAACTCCCCTATCTCCTCGTGCACATGTAGAATGTACAAGGCTCTACAGATATAGATTCATAACCTGTTAAGGTCATAGTTTCTTTTTTTGATTTTTTTTTTTTTTTGAGACAGGATTTCTCTGTTTTACAGTCCTGTCTGTGCTGGAATTTGCTTTGTAGACCAGGCTGGCCTCAAACTCACAGAAATCTCTCTGCCTCTGCCTTTTGAATGCTGGGATTAAAGACAGGTACCACCACCTTATCTGCTGTTTTAATATTGAGCAATAAACTGGTGAAAGTATATTCAATATCCCTACCAAGGAAAAGCGAAGTTAAAATATTATCAGTCATTTATTAGTTAGGATATCTTTCTGAGTATGACTTGAAGATATGTATCAAAATCCGAACCATCCTCTCTCCATGCCTCCCCTTCTCTTCCCTTTTCCAGTTCTGGGACTTGAACTTAAGTCCCCCCACATGCTAGGCAAGCCCCTCCTGCCCTAAAGCATGCATTATCATCTTTGGTGCAGCAATTTCCCTTCTAGGACTTTGCCATTAGGAAGCAGTTGAATGAATATAAAGTCCTATTTTGAGGGTGGATTTTGAAGTATTGGCTATCGTGGCAGTACAATGGAAGATGCCTATGGCAAGGTGATATTGGAGGGGATAAAGTTCCTTCCTCACAGTAAAATCCAGTGCGGCTTTGGCTTATTGAAATAGCCCAAGCGTGTTAATAATATGGTTATTTGGGAAAAGCCTATCAGCTGATATTTTACCTGCAATTATTCTATTAAGAGGGAAAGAAGTCAATGTTTCAAACTTCTATAGGAGCAGATTCTGGAATGCTCGTACTCAATTTGAATTTAAGGCAGCCATGTGGAAATTCTTATGCTATACACTGTCCTTTTAATGACCTGCCATATCAGACTGTGCCTTTTCCAAGTCATGATCCTCATGGACTCTCTTCAAGCACAGCTGAGTTCTGATTCCCTTGCCATGGTTTTGGTGTTCTATCAGATCATTCATTGTTCTTTATATGTGGACGTGTTTGTTTTATTAGGGTATGAGACCTACCAAATGGAGAGGTGAATCTTGCTAGCCTCTCTGGTCTTGTATTTCCCTTTAGACCCGGCTTTGCGGATGCTGGCTGCTCATTACCTCGCGAGTGGGTAAGCGGAATTCTTTTCTCTTCCTGCTTGGGTGGGAGCCAGATTTCTGCTAAGCAGAGTTTACCGCTGAGCGACATCCCAGCCCCAGTGCTTTTATTAGCAAGGAACTATGCAACAGGAAGTGTCCGGCTTCTTATTCATTTATAGTCTGGGGAAGTGACACCTGGCTGAGACATTGTGGACCCTTCTGGAACAAAACAGGCTATAAATATAGTATTTAATTGAATGACTCTGCCTCTGGAGGAACTTGGTCCAGACACTAGTACTAGGGCACATTGTGGAGACAGAAGGAAGGAGGTGGTTTTAGACTGTGTGGGTCATCATGACCCTGGAGTAGGATTACCCCATCACGGTCCTCAGTGGGTGTCGGGTGATGAAGGTGGGGTTGGTCCCAGACCCTACCTGCTGTTCTTTGTCACACTGGTGCAGCCGATGTGCAGAGTGGCTGAGTCATGGCTGAGGTGGTCAGCCATCTCAGAGCTGCTGCACCACGCAGCCAGGCTTTGTGTGTACTTACTATACATTTGGCACAGTGCTGGGTACATGGTCTTCAGCCCCTGATTCATGCCTATTGTTGTGGCTGTTTCTATTTTTATATTTAGCGTGCTTCCCCTGCCCCAATTACTTGAGTGACATACACACATTGTAGAAAATCTGGAAAATACAGGAAGCCATTAGTGTTTTATAAACCCACCCACCTACCAGCACTGTAGATAACTATATTAATACTTCTTTATACAGTGTTTCAAACTTAATTTTTCGAAACAAAACTATCTGTTCTACACAGACCACAAATAGGAATTGGAATGGATGAATACCTAAAATTTGCTCTGAGTATTAGAGAGTTTTCAGCTCTGTCAGACTGTTTCTTTGTCAATGTGGTATATGCAAAGATTCGTAGGTAGGACATGCTAAGGTCTTATTTGGGTGAATTCAGTGATGGCTATGGTTGATGTGGGAGAGGGATTTCTTTTTCTAGAGCCTTGAGAACACTGGCTTCAAGCAGTTCTCCCTCAACATTTATATTTAAGTAGAAAATATTAGAATAAGTGTCAAAATTAATTTCAGATAGAAAAAGCCTAAAACCTCGGCACACTCTCTAAGACATAGTGAGTAGGTGGGACTCACAAGCTGATCGTCTGTCTTAGAGGTGTCATCAGTACAGGGCCCCCCAGGTGCCAGAAGCTGGTGAGCAAGTTCCCAGTGCTGTCCCCTTGGACCTTGAGCCTGTGCAGGTACTGTCTGTTGCAATAGACGGGACTCACAGTGAACAAGCAGCTGGTTAGAATAGAAAATGTATGAGCTTCATCTGAGGGTCTAAGATGGAATGGTTGACTGATTTGGATTTGATGGGTGATTAGAAGAATTGCCTTAAAGTCCATTTCTTGGGCAGCAGTCACACCCAGCTCCAATCACCTGAACTGCCTTTTCCCATGACAGCGTTCCATCTTCTGCCCTCTAGTGGGCAGTGGGGTAGCTGCGCTGTGTCCACACCTAGCTGCTTTGGCAGTTTGATACCACTGAAAGTCAGCCCACACTAAACCTGCTTTCCAGACAGCCTTTTTTGTAGGCCCCATCTTCCCGAAAGGGAGGGATTTGGGCCACAAATTACAGGCAAGATTCTGATAAGTGCTCGGATACAGAGAAAGGATCACTGAATCCAAAGCATTGCAAGTTGACTTAACATTGTAGGTGACCTTGAAAAAAAATCTTCAAATTTTTATACAATTTAATGATTTAAGTGCTAAACTACTGCAATTTTGATTTTTTTTTTTTAAAAAAAAGCATTAAGAGACGGGAGAAGTAACAATACCCAGTAAACCTGACTTCAGTTTCCAGTCCCTACACTAAAAAAAAGTCAGGCTTGGTGCATGCATGTCCCAGCAGTGGGTATTGGAAAACAGGTGGACCCTGGCCTTTCTTTTCTTTTCTTTTCTTTTCTTTTCTTTTCTTTTCTTTTCTTTTCTTTTCTTTTCT